GATTCTCAAAGGTTCCTACGTTAAGTTTTCCTCCTAACTGGTGATGTGAGAACGTATCTAACTGACTCACTTAAGCTACCACACAAAGATGGATTCTCAAAGGTTCCTACGTTAAGTTTTACTCCTAACTGGTGATGTGAGAACGTATCTAACTGACTCACTTAAGCTACCACACAAAGATGGATTCTCAAAGGTTCCTACGTTAAGTTTTCCTCCTAACTGGTGATGTGAGAACGTATCTAACTGACTCACTTAAGCTACCACACAAAGATGGATTCTCAAAGGTTCCTACGTTAAGTTTTCCTCTTAACTGGTGATGTGAGAACGTATCTAACTGTCTCACTTAAGCTACCACACAAAGATGGATTCTCAAAGGTTCCTACGTTAAGTTTTCCTCCTAACTGGTGATGTGAGAACGTATCTAGCGGCTTTCCACTTAAGCTACCACACAAAGATGGATTCTCAAGAGGTTCCCTACGTTAAGTTTTCCTCTAACTGGTGATGTGAGAACGTATCTAACTGACTCACTTAAGCTACCACTCAAAGATGGATTCTCAAAGGTTCCTACGTTAAGTTTTCCTCCTAACTGGTGATGTGAGAACGTATCTAACTGACTCACTTAAGCCACCACACAAAGATGGATTCTCAAAGGTTCCTACGTTAAGTTTTCCTCCTAACTGGTGATGTGAGAACGTATCTAACTGACTCACTTAAGCTACCACACAAAGATGGATTCTCTAATTGGCCTGAACTTTACTCTGACACCCTAACCTAGTTATGTTTTTGGTGTGTGTGTGGGCAGGTAAGGCATGGTAAGGGGCAGGTAAGGCATGGTAAGGGGCAGGTAAGGCATGGTAAGGGGCAGGTAAGGCATGGTAAGGGGCAGGTAAGGCATGGTAAGGGGCAGGTAAGGCATGGTAAGGGGCAGGTAAGGCATGGTAAGGGGCAGGTAAGGCATGGTAAGGGGCAGGTGTGGGCCTAGAGCGGAAACACGACCCGTGATCCTCTCTTTGTTGGTAAGGATATTTAGTAAGATAGAGAAATGACATAATTTTTACAACAATTAACTATATATATATCACATTGTTTTAACTAAAGCAATTATTTTAAATTATTGATGTGTGTTTAGACATGAATTAATTTATTTTATTTCTGGTAATGACCTAATATTTCTGTATGTTGTGTCGTGTTTACCTCAAGAGTGTCGTAAGTCTGCAACAATAACAAAAGTGTCAACTGTGACGTCATCACCAGGATTCCCTCCTATATAAAGGACATCTCTAGGATGGGTAGGTCAGTGTGGTCACAGTACTCTACCAGTCAACACCGTACAGCACCTCAAGTTTAGTAGTGGACTTAAAACAAGGTGAGGTTTATCTCCAAGTTTACGCATTTATTGTTTATCACTTTTATTATTTACATATTTATCTTGTTTTTAATGTGTATTAAATTATTCTATCTATCTTTCTCTAGTTGTCTCCCTCTCTTTGGCTCTCTCTACTCGTGTGACAAATAATCATGAACCCTATTGCTATTATAATATTATCTATGCTACTATTACGTTTACTTCTGTATTATTATTATTTAGTAGTAGTAGTAGTAGTAGTAGTAGAAGCGATACTGTGATGCATAGTGTCCAAACTTTGCAAAATACAATGAGCTCCAAGGCCCTAAGAGGAGGCGGTCATACACACCAACAGTGAGACAATCCCATGTCGACTTAACCGAGCTGTTATATTACTACAGGGTGCCCCTAAATGATTACCCTGATTTAAATATGAGAACATACTATTTTTAGGGTGATCATTTAAGGACACCCTGTATATTAAGAGGTCCACTATAAGGTACCACCCAAATGCCAGCAAGTCGTTCCTCATTGTGAAGCGGGTAATGGAGGTGTGTGGTTCAAGTAATAAAAGAAGGCTACTGAAATAATTGGCACGTTCTCTGGTATTTCAACACAATGACAAATTAATTCCAACTCTGGTGAAAAGTCATTAGTTAACCCCAGCACTACCACCGGGACAGGGAGGAATGGTGATCACTTAACACGGAGTTTTCTATAGTAAAATTATTGTTTAGGTTATCCATCTATTTTGATATAGATCAGAAACATTCAAAACACATTAATAACCATCGGTAAAACATCATTTCAACCTAACGAGAACATAAAATCCTAAAATTAACTAGATAACCGAAAGACAAAACTGCGCTTACTGCCAAAGCTCATAAAACAGTCAAGCTCACAGCCGCCTTTACCTAGAGCACAGTAACTCAAAATGCAGCAAGTCAAGTGTATAAACTCAACCAGTCAACGCAATATACGACTTTACATTACAATAAACAGGACACTCAAAGCAAAAATCCTTAACAAGTACATACATGGTGGTTAGGTCTTATACATATTAAAGAAAACGAAACCTCTCTCAGCACGTCACTATGGCTCCACATACTATATAAAAGACTAAATTCATCTTATTTTCTCCTCTTCACCACTAATTGGCTCGTTAGGTTATAGGAAGAGTGATTATGTTACATCCACTCTGCTTATAGGAAGAGTGATTATGTTACATCCATTCTGCTATTGGACGAGTGATTATGTTACATCCACTCTGCTTATAGGAAGAGTGATTATGTTACATCCACTCTGCTATTGGACGAGTGATTATGTTACATCCACTCTGCTTATAGGAAGAGTGATTATGTTACATCCACTCTGCTATTGGACGAGTGATTATGTTACATCCACTCTGCTTATAGGAACAGTGATTATGTTACATCCACTCTGCTTATAGGAAGAGTGATTATGTTACATCCATTCTGCTATTGGACGAGTGATTATGTTACATCCACTCTGCTTATAGGAAGAGTGATTATGTTACATCCACTCTGCTATTGGACGAGTGATTATGTTACATCCACTCTGCTTATAGGAAGAGTGATTATGTTACATCCACTCTGCTTATAGGTGATTATGTTACATCCATCTGCTATTGAAGAGTGATTATGTTACATCCACTCTGCTATTGGACGAGTGATTATGTTACATCCACTCTGCTTATAGGAAGAGTGATTATGTTACATCCACTCTGCTTATAGGAAGAGTGATTATGTTACATCCACTCTGCTATTGGACGAGTGATTATGTTACATCCACTCTGCTTATAAGAAGAGTGATTATGTTACATCCACTCTGCTTATAAGAAGAGTGATTATGTTACATCCACTCTGCTATTGGACGAGTGATTATGTTACATCCACTCTGCTTATAGGAAGAGTGATTATGTTACATCCACTCTGCTTATAAGACGAGTGATTATGTTACATCCACTCTGCCCAATGATAACCAATTGACGTGATAACAAACGGCCTCAATATTGCTACACACACCCGGCAGCCTACACCACCTCAACAGTCAACTACGGTCTTCTGAAGTTGTTGAATAGTGGTTCTTAACTTTATGGTCACGCTCCCTACAGCAGTTGGTCCTAAACATTCTAAAACCATGGCCATAATCACCACCACATGGCCATAATCACCACCACATGGCCATAAACAAAAGTAGACCACGTGTTTACAATCCATTTTTGAGTTTGGTAAATTTCATTCTCGTCATAAAAACGAAATTAACATTTTTTTTTTAATTTATATAAGTAATTATTATTATTTCGTTCATTAAATATCTACACTACAACAAATCTCAAGTGAAGGAACAAGTTCGTGAGTGTGAGAAGTAAAAAGTTGTTACTTTTACTTACTTGTATTCTCTTAACCACTTATCGGCTCGTTAACACCTTGGGCAGTCCATCACGTCTCTGTTACACACTGTTAACAAGTACTGGCTCTCTGTTACACACTGTTAACAAGTACTGGGTCTCTGTTACACACTGTTAACAAGTACTGGGTCTCTGTTACACACTGTTAACAAGTACTGGGTCTCTGTTACACACTGTTAACAAGTACTGGGTCTCTGTTACACACTGTTAACAAGTACTGGGTCTCTGTTACACACTGTTAACAAGTACTGGCTCTCTGTTACACACTGTTAACAAGTACCGGCTCCTGAATGTACCTGAACCTGCTCCAGTCTGGTCTTGAAACAGCTCACACTCGGTGCCGTCACAACACCCTCAAGCTGTGACCTCTTGTGGGGTGAGCGTCCGTCACCTCCAGGTAATGACACTCGACTGACCCTTCACACTGTGTTGACAAATTTTCAAACGTGACTATCGTACTGAGCCTCAAAATTATCATACTGGAACCTCAAAATTATCGTTCCTTCATCAAATTATCGTACATTTCTACATAATTACTACCTTAATTCAGTCACTTTTAATGGAATTGTATATTTTTATTGACATAGTTACCATTTACGATATTTTGAAGTATCTGTGGGAGAAAGACCATCCCCCCCCTGCACCCCTGTTAAGAACCTCTGTTGTAGATGAACTTGCACTCTAAAACAAGACAGTTGATATGGCTTCATTTTTATCCCTTACAAGTCTTTTTAATATTGATAATCCAAGCATTTATATTACATGTTCTCCTCACACACTGGCCTCAAAATACAAGCTACATATTTGGGCGTTTTCAACATTTATTGAGTTATTTCCTCATGAGTATCCAGCTTCTTTTCAGTTCTTTATACTTTGGAAAGATATGGAGAGTTATATTATGACTGTTTTTAATTTATGATAAACACCCCAAGACTGAACAACCTCTTGCCATGCTGCTTCTTGTAGTGAGGAGACGCATGACCTTCCTTAACACAATTTATAATAGTTATCCTCTCACCCAAATAAAACTTTCTTCTTTCTCTCAACCACTAATAAAACTTTCTTCTTTCTCTCAACCATTCAGTAAACCAAGTTAAGAGCAGACATCAACTATCTCAGTTAGGTTAGGTAATACAATGGTGGTGAAGGTATGGCTATAAAAGGAGGTTGGGGGCTATTATACAAAGGGCACTACTCAGTTGAGTGTCCTTACCTGTAGCTGGTGGACGCTCGCCCCACAAGGGTCACAGCTCAAGGTTGAAGAAGCCACAAGTCCAGAAAACTGTGAGGGCAAACTTTTTCAGAGTGAGAGAATTATTATTATTGTTAGTAGTAGTTGAGATGTCGAGTGTCCTCCTCTCTACTCAGGGGAACGAGAGCTGTGGACCTACAGATATTGACTATGAGGCAACAGTCACTGAATGCCTCATAGATCTGCAGCTCAACACAGCTGGGATAGCTACTTATGTATTAGGATATTTAATTTTAAGGTAATAAAATGGTAGTGAAGGTGTGGCTATTGGGGGAGGCTGGAGGCCATTTAAAGAAGTTAGTAGTAATAGTACAGTACTGTAGTAGTACAATTAGCAATAATAGTAGTAGTAGTATTTTCACATTAACAATAGTATAATCAAGATTATTACATATTTACTTTTCTTTTCCTTTTCACAGAAAATGGAAAACCAGAAGTTTGTGGTCAAGTCCTGCTGTTGTGGTTGTACACTACGAACAGCTTCCATCATTATTGCTGTCTTTAGTCTGGTGAGTACTTGATGCTGTCCTTATTGAGTGTACTTGATGCTGTCCTTATTGAGTGTACTTGATGCTGTCCTTATTGAGTGTACTTGATACTGTCCTTACTGTGTGTACTTTAGGGGGCAAGCTGCACTCTTCAGGCATTGTTCCTTATACATATCTAAGACTCCATGACAAATTTGAAGCTGATATGTCGAGGTTTAGTCTGCCGCATTTTCTACTGAAGTTTTTAAATTTACCTACAGTACTAGCCAAACAGCCGCTGTGGCGGTGCAATGTTCTGTTCAGTGTTTATCAACTTTTTTTTCATATCTCTTATTTCATTTAAGTTGTCTTGTTGCAGATGAGTATGGTGCTATGTCTATATTGATTATCAGCCTTTTCTCATTTCATTTCTCAATGTTGTGTTACTGTACTGTAATGTAGGGGAGACCTGGGTAAGTTGGCGCACTTGAAATTATTCAAATAGTTACCGTTAAGCAGTTCACACCGCAGGATCACCACGTGCTTCCTCAGTCACCCATAAGCAGTCATTCTGAGACCAATGTAAATGTAGGATCAGAAAATGGAGTCATTCATCATCTTGAAATGTTACTTGGTCACCCGCTCCATTATTTCATATGTCAGCTTCACGGAAATGAGCTGCCTTTCCGCGCAGTTTTTTATCACTATGATGGTAAACCAAGTGGTCCTGAGCATTGGCGTGGTCCCATTGGAAAGCAGATCAAGGAGTCTTTGTCTGAGCTTCCAGTTGTCGCCTTCCAGCCAGTCAGTTTCCCTGATTTCCCTGTGTTTAATGATGAAGTGGAGAAAGATCTGTCCTGGGATCAGAAATACCTGTATAGGATTTGTAAAGGAGTTATCACAGGTGTTGTTGAAGATGACTTGGCTGCTATTGAGCCAGGTCCTCCCTGTGTGTCAAGGTGGAACACCTTATGGAGTAGAATCCTCAGGCTGTATGTAGCAACATCAAGACCCAGCCATGAGTTGAAAAGAATTGTCATTACAATAATAAAGTTCAGTGCTCCAATGTGGTTTTACATCAAGATACACCCTTACGTAACACACGGCTCAAGGAACGTATTCCAGTCCCTGCTATATATGAAACACCTGAATAGTGAGGAGGAGACGATAGTGAAGAAGGCTGTCCAGAGAAATGCATACTTAGCCCACACAGATCAACTTCTTCTTGGTATGTGTGCAGATGAGGACATGACTGTTAGAGAAAAAGCTGTCTCAATGATAAGAAAAATTAGAGAGGAGAATCAGCAAAAGGAAGAATGCACTGGCAGATCTGAAGAGGAGGAGGAAGTTTCTGATGCTGCTGTTGACGAGAATTTGTTAAACTATACTGATGAGGAGGGTAAAGATGGAGATGGGAATGAGGATGTGCCTCCTGTAGTCAACATGAGAAAGGTGGTGACTCCGAAACTAAAGTGGCAAGCAAAAAACTATCATTCCATGATTAACTGGAGGTATGAACTCAAGACTGAGCCTCCTTACATTGCTTCTCTGTCAAATCTACAGGTTAATGACATTCTTGAGACACCATTAGTGGTGCCCAAGTGGCCAAACAGCACTCAGGCGGTCGAGAGAGGCATAAAAGTGATGACTGAAGCTTGCACTGAAGTGACGGGATACGAATCGAGAGATGGATATATTAGGCAAAGATTATTGTCTAGGAAAATGATGCCAAGGTTCCGCACAAAAAAGAATTTCAATATGAACTTGTAATGATTTTCTATACGGTGTACCTGTAAAATAACATGTGAATTAAATCGATGTCACCCATGTAAAATTTATCATTATCCTGGAAAACATTAAATGACACCTAATTTTTGGTATACACTAAAAGTTGACAAAAAGTCGTTCGCGATGCGGCAGGGTAAGTATGCATGAAATGGCATGAAATTTTGCACAGGTGTTTGTTACAGCCATACAAACGATGCCTGAAAAGTGCGGCCTGCAACTCAAATAAAAGTGTTTTTTCCCTGTCCCCCCCTAGTGTACTTGATACTGTCCTTATTGAGTGTACTTGATGCTGTCCTTATTGTGTGTACTTGATGCTGTCCTTATTGAGTGTACTTGATGCTGTCCTTATTGTGTGTACTTGATACTGTCCTTATTGAGTGTACTTGATGCTGTCCTTATTGTGTGTACTTGATGCTGTCCTTATTGTGTGTACTTGATACTGTCCTTACTGTGTGTACTTGATACTGTCCTTACTGTGTACTTGACTCTTATTATCATCATTTCCACACAGGTATACGGACTCGCTAGTGCCGGCTACAGTATTTCTCTGGGAGTCACTGGTAAGTAAGGAATATTAACCATAATTTCATGTAAATCCACAATGAAAACGTGGATAAGATAAATCTTGATAAAATCACACGGGAAAATGGAAACAACGGAGCACCTTAGCTTTCGTCTTTATTCAAGACATCTTCAGAGGCAACTTCAGTTGCCTCTGAAGATGTCTTGAATAAAGACGAAAGCTAAGGTGCTCCGTTGTTTCCATTTTCCCGTGTGATTTTATCAAGATTAACCATAATATATAAACTCTTTATAAATATTACAATTACACTCAAAACCTAACCTAAACATATTAAATACAGGTTCTTTAGCACTAACAACCTCCCCCCCCCCAGGTTTGAACGAGGCGTGGTTAGATCTGGTCATCAATATCTACAATGTTATTTTCACCATCATCCTTATGCACGGTATTCGTAAGGTTAGTAATTGAATCCTAACTTAACCTACCATAATTGACACTTGACCCAATTTAACTTAAATGTAATCTAACCTGTATTTAAGGAACTATCTGATAATTTACCAATATTTATCAGCTATCTACTTACAACCTATATATACATGTATGTATTCATGTACGTTAATCTCCCCACAGGACCACCGTAGACTAATCATGGCCTGTGTATGTATATATGTATGTATTCATGTACGTTCATCTCCCCACAGGACCACCATAGACTAATCATGGCCTGGGTGTGGGCTACAGGTCTCAGCATTGCCCTCAACATCACCCTGGGCATTGTGTTCCTCTTGATAACTCTCTCCATCGTGGCTGCCTTTGTGTTGTTCCTCACGTCTGCTCTACAAGTTTACTTCTTAGTGGTGGTTAGATCTTATGGTCTTAGCCTGACACCACGTAATACTGTTGTGATTAATGTAAGTGGAGTGTAGTGTGGTGTGGTGTGGTGTGGTGTGGTGTAGTTACTAAAATGTGTTTCTGTAATGGTGTTAATGACATTAGAATATTATTATTACAACTACAGTGGTCCCTCGGTTAACGAACACAATTCGTTCCACAGAGTCGTTCGTTAACCAAAAAATTTCATTAACTGAATCTATTATTTCAATGGGATATTGGGTAATTGGTTCCAGCTCACAGAAAAGTACATGCAAAGTATAAACAAAATGCAGTAAAGTACACTAACCTTGAGGTGTGTATGTAGGAGGCTCCTGGTTAATGGTGATGATGATGATGGGAAGTGGGGGTGGAGGAGAAGAGAAGGAAGTGGAGGTGGAGGAGAAGAGAAGGAAGTGGGGGTGGAGGAGAAGAGAAGGAAGTGGGGGTGGAGGAGAAGAGAAGGAAGTGGGGGTGGAGGAGAAGGGAGAAG